GTTCAGGTTATAAACATTTAATAATAAGAAATATAAATAACAACAAAAACATATTAAATAACAAGACAATTCAGATAGCAGTTCATATAGGCCGCGTCGCTCACAAGTACCGAACAAATTCGCACAACAATTTCATAGATTTTTATTTGTCAAATACTTATTCCTTTGGCGAAATTTATATATATATATATATATATATATATATATATATATATATATATATATATATATATATATATATATATATGTTTTACCACTGTACATAGTTTTAAGTGTCCTGTATATACATGATTTCAAGTGTTTTGTATATAGATTTCTTTTATTTTGTACATAGTTTGTTTAACTAATATTTTCTTTACTTTTTTTTTCTTTATTTTTACTTTTTTTTTGTTTTTACTTAGGCCAGATATAACACTTTAATTTTGTACTTTTTTATTATTCTAAAGGGACTTCGTCCCAGAATCCTATCCACATTGCAATTGTCTGAATTTTTCTTAAATATGATTTATGGAAATTGATCTAACAGTTTATCTTTTTATTATATGGGGTGTCGTGTAAGGATAGGAAAATGTTCAAAAGGATTATAGAAGATCTTAAGAGTTAAAAACAAGTTTATATGAACTATGGTCCAATTTTTAGTCATGTTTTCTTGTTGAATCTGTATAAAAAAACTAAAAAAATGTTACTTTTCTGTTACTTTTACCAATTGCTTTACAATAAACTTGATCAAATTTAGTTCAACTGAAAGTAGAGTTTGTTCAAATTTAGTTCAACTGAAAGTAGAGTTTGTAATTCATGACTAGTGATCGTCTAAAGCAAGGTATGTTCTGTTTTTGTAAAAACCATGAATTATGATTTTTTTTTAACACCTTCCAACTATACTACAGATGACCCATTTTAAGAAAAATGTTTTTGTTTAAAAAGCTTTAAGTATATATTGATGAAGTTCAAGTTTAATCAATATGGACTTGAAGCTTATTAAACAAGAAAGGTTTTCTAAATGTGGGTTATCTGTAGTATAGTTGGAGAGTGATAAAAAAGTAGCAAGTCATTCATGATTTTTTTTTTAAACTGAATTTATCTTGATTTAGCTGCTATACGTTCTTTTTTAATCGGTTTACCAATGACAAATCTACTTTGATTTACAACGGATTCCGTCTTATTTATTGTGAAGCAATTATTAATTTATTGAATTCATTTTTTTTTAATTATCGCTTTCTATTCAACAAAAACTATGACCTACATAAAAAAAAATACAAATAAATCAATTTCCTAATATTCTACTAAAAATCGGACCATTGTTTATATAAACTTTTTTGTCTCTCTTAAGGTCTGCTGTCGTCTTTATAGATATTCTCCTCTACTTAAGGGATACCCTGTATATACGTTCAGTTAGCTTATAGAAATTGTTTATAAATTCTCCCATAAAAAAAACTAAAAAAAAAAACTTTTACAATGATCAGAGATGCTGGAGGAGGGAGATATGACCCTCTGGCAGTGACAGTAGACAAACAGTTGTCCCCGGAGTGGGGTTGATATTGTTGAGCAAACACATTCCCTCCGCCTCACGCTCGGCACTAATCTCCAAGGCGATCTACATCTCAATGGAGGTCACTGCAATCAGTCTAAGCGGATTGGAGTCTGTAGCCCTTTGTCGGCCGAAATATTTGCCCGAGGCACAATAGGATCAGCCGGGACCCGCCAGCGGTGGCAATCAGAGGGTTGTCGCTATACCCGAAAGGAACAAGGGGTATCAGAAGAGATTGGAGTACCTCTGCCTGAGTATTAGTGTACTAATGAAGAAATATTAGATATTAGTCAGATCAAATAAACAGCTGTGCAACTAAAGTAGAGTAACAAAGTTTATCCGACAGCGATAATTTTTCGGATTAAAACATGTTCAATATATTAGGTCGTTTCATATGAAATGCTAATTTTCACAGAACAGGTCATTATGACAATTGTATTACGAAATCAAAACATTTTTGTTCAAAATATTTACCCTCATTTTCTATACATTTTCCATAACGTGTTATAAACTTTTTAATCCCATAGTTGAAAAAAAATCACCCTAAATTTTCAAAATAACGAGGTTATACTGGACAAACGGTCCAACCTCGAATATTTTTGTTGGCCACATTTTTTATCGATTTCTTGATCAAATTATCTTGTTATACAATTAGAAAGCAAATGGTTATTTATGAGTTTTTAGTGCCTAATTAAGTATACAAAGTTTGCCCCCCTCCAGATTGAAAACGCCCGAATTCCAAGAGTTTTCGTAAATAAAATAGTTGTAGGATACGATGAGATAAAACTATTTAAAAAGTTTCAGGCGGATCTTAATAATAAAATAATAAATAATAAAAAGGGTCCGTACTACGGACTACCACTTTGAATTTCTAAAATAAAAAAAACGGCACATTAATTTTAATTATGTCCAAGATAATGTTCAATAGGCATTATCAACCTTCTGCATATGTATTAATACGTGATTTAATGTAGTTTAATATTTTTTATTCTGGGCTTTGGATAAGAATAATTAATTTTATACTTGATTTTTCTCAATTCAATTGAATTAATCAAAGGTAAATATCGGAGACATTTTTCCTTTAAAGTTCTGTAAATAGGAAAGCTCCCGTTTTCCTCCTAGAAGTTTTATACAAAGTATCATTTTTCCCTTTGAGTTTAAAAAAGAAAAGTTTTTAAAATGTTTAAAACTCTTTGAACAGACTCAACACTTGAGTTACTAATCACAGGAAAGGCCTTCCATAGATTTTTCGCACCGGCTGTTCACTAAGAAAGAAGAAACGCCCACTGATAATTTTCAGACGGACAAAACCAAAAAAAAATGAAGATTGTACGATTTAATTACACTGATAAAAGCTTTAATTAAAATAAATAAATGTTGTAATAAATACAGAGGACTAATGGCCAAGCACGTTGGGGCGTGGGTCTCAGAGTGCCTGGTTCTGAACAGATGTAGGTTCGATTCCCGCCTGGGTCGGTTACTTTTTATGGAAAATGGATCGTTATTTTACCACTCTGGTAAGTACGCGTTGGTAATCTCAAGGTAGACGTCAGAGGGCAAAAAGAAACACCATAGGGCCCACTTTCCGGACATGTTCTCTCCTTCTGTACCAGTACCAGTGTAATAAATACAGAGATGTGCACTGTTAGTTTTGATTTAATTTTAGAATAATATATTAACTGAAGCCATACCCTCAAGAAATCACTTGGACAGCGAAAACGCAAGGCAGTTGCGAATTACCTGAAACAAGGGAAAACATTATATTAATAAAGATTGACTGAAATTGATAAATAATACGAAACTTTTCCAATACTAATAAGATTTATTTTTATTAAATGTTATAATATTAAATTTTATTTTTTAAACCATATTCTCCTTTCGTGTCTATGTAGAAATAAGTCTCATTGTTCTCGAGAATTATATTATTATTACTGTTACTCCAAGTAGAAGGGACTCACTATCTAAACTCGTGTGTTTGTTTTTCTGTATTGACTAGCGATTTGTGTAGTATTGATCGTAATACTAACCAACGACCAAATTAAGGGATTTCTGACTGAACCATAATTCGTTCAAGCTTCTAAATTATAGAAGAAACAAACTTTAAGTCATTATACGTCATTTAAAAGTTTTCAAAAACTCTTTGAACGATCGGGCCTGAGTAATCATGCAACATACAATCACCTAATATTTCAGATAGGAGATAGCAGTATTTACTATCAATTTAAATGATCAAGTTTATTCATTAAATATTTGACTAGAATTGCACATTAGGCTCAATAGTCTGGTGATGCTAATGGTTTCTATATTTCTACTTTGGCAAAGTTGAATTGAATTATGTAGCCTAGGAACCTTGAAAAGTTCCGAAATAAACCTACTCCAAAGCACATGACAGATTTAATAAAACATGAAGTAATAAACTGTTGATTATTTAAGAAATAAAAACGTTAATTTATACTTGACAAATATTTCAAGTAACGGTATGTCAGGCATGAGGAAGAATTGGGAGCATCTTTTCCCTTCGCTTGATTCCATTTTCGAATAATTCGAAAAAAAAAGAAATAAGTAGATATCTGATAAGAGCTTTTTGTTTTATTGAAAATTACTAATATAATTACAAATAACACGTTAGACAGCACCTAAATACTTCGGTGTATATCTGTTTTCGATGAATAGGAGATCACATATTCGGATGATCAATTATATGTCTCTCGATTTATAATGTTTAAGTCGAATTGTTCATGGTTTTATCAATCATGTAATTATGTTTTAATGTTTGAAACTTATCTAAGAAGTTCATTTTTTTGCTATAATTGTGCCATTACCGTAATTAATAATCAATGTATGGTTATAAACAGGTAAAATTTACAATAAAAAGTAAAGGAGCAAGTATTGAACCTTGTTGACTAAATGTAGTAAAAATATTTGTTATGACACCCGTTATTGATTTCGATAATTTTTTTTTAAGCGTTCAAATATTTATTTGATTTTCGAGTTATTCCCAAATTATGAATTCATTTGTAACGTCTCCATCATATGGGTTGAAACCTTCCATTTTTACATTCACTTTTATTTCCAGGTATAAAATTAAGAATACAAATTACGATTGGTTCACTGAATGTGTTATCCCCTTTCCATTGATACCTTATATAGGTGAAAGCAAAAATTATAATAATTAAAAGTAAGTTGTTTGTTTATTTATTCTGTCATTAGGCTTCTTCTATTATTAAGTGATGTTATTTAGTAGATCGGGCTCTTATGACCTGAATGTTTTGCGCCTAGAAATTGAAACGAACAAACAAAAATGAAAGTCGACTAGGAAAAGAAAAAATACCATACAATTTCAAAAAATAAATGTTTTATGAATTTAATATTATTCAATCAGTAGCGATACACTTAAGTTTGATACTATGGCATAATGAGATTAAAAACCATTGTTTAGATTATGATGTATCTGATTTGGCTCAAACTAAGATTAAGCCCATCCATAGAGAGAGTAGCTTGGGTATGCAGCTTGGCTGTAACCAGAGGCAGACTCTTCTTTGTTCAAGGAACGGCTGGCCTTAGAAGAGGAAGCAGATTTGGCGCTTTGGTCGTAACCAGATTCAGAATAGGCACCACCACCATAAATACCGTAACTGGGATAACCTGAAGCAATCTTGGAGTAACCCTTGTTAGAAGATTCTTGGGATTGTGCGTTTTCGGAACTTTCAGCGGCGTTAAGCTTAGACTTAGTTGAGTAACCTGAACCGCCAACAACAGCTGGACCCCAAACACCTGGTGCGACAACTCCGTTGTTATATGCAGTGGTAGAGTCTTCTTTGTTCAAAGAACGGCTGGCCTTGGAAGAAGATGCGGATTTGGCCTTTTGGTCGTAACCGGATTCAGCATAAGCACCACCTCCAATTACACCATAACCGGGGTAACCTGAAGCGACCTTGGAGTATCCCTTGTTGGAAGATTCTTGAGATCTTGCGTTTTCAGAACTTTCAGCGGCGTTAAGCTTAGACTTGGTGGAGTAACCTGAACCACCAACAACAGCTGGACCCCAAACACCTGGTGCGACAACTCCATTGTTATATGCAGTGGTAGAGTCTTCTTTGTTCAAAGAACGGCTGGCCTTGGAAGACGATGCGGATTTGGCCTTTTGGTCGTAACCGGATTCAGCATAAGCACCTCCTCCAATAACACCATAACCGGGGTAACCTGAAGCGACCTTGGAGTATCCCTTGTTAGATGATTCTTGGGATTTTGCATTTTCAGAACTTTCAGCGGCGTTAAGCTTAGACTTGGTGGAGTAACCTGAACCGCCAACAACAGCTGGTCCCCAAACACCTGGTGCGACAACTCCGTTGTTATATGCAGTGGTAGAGTCTTCTTTGTTCAAAGAACGGCTGGCCTTGGAAGAAGATGCGGATTTGGCCTTTTGGTCGTAACCGGATTCAGCATAAGCACCTCCTCCAATAACGCCATAACCGGGGTAACCTGAAGCGACCTTGGAGTATCCCTTGTTGGAAGATTCTTGGGATCTTGCGTTTTCAGAACTTTCAGCAGCGTTAAGCTTAGACTTGGTGGAATAACCTGAACCGCCAACAACAGCTGGACCCCAAACACCAGGTGCGACAACTCCGTTGTTATATGCAGTGGTAGAGTCTTCTTTGTTCAAAGAACGGCTGGCCTTGGAAGAAGATGCGGATTTGGCCTTTTGGTCGTAACCGGATTCAGCATAAGCACCTCCTCCAATAACGCCATAACCGGGGTAACCTGAAGCAACCTTTGAGTATCCCTTGTTGGAAGATTCTTGGGATCTTGCGTTTTCAGAACTTTCAGCAGCGTTAAGCTTAGACTTGGTGGAGTAACCTGAACCGCCAACAACAGCTGGCCCCCAAACACCTGGTGCGACAACTCCGTTGTTATATGCAGTGGTAGAGTCTTCTTTGTTCAGAGAACGGCTGGCCTTGGAAGAAGATGCGGATTTGGCCTTTTGGTCGTAACCGGATTCAGCATAAGCACCTCCTCCAATAACGCCATAACCGGGGTAACCTGAAGCGACCTTGGAGTATCCCTTGTTGGAAGATTCTTGGGATCTTGCGTTTTCAGAACTTTCAGCAGCGTTAAGCTTAGACTTGGTGGAGTAACCTGAACCGCCAACAACAGCTGGTCCCCAAACACCTGGTGCGACAACTCCGTTGTTATATGCAGTGGTAGAGTCTTCTTTGTTCAAAGAACGGCTGGCCTTGGAAGAAGATGCGGATTTGGCCTTTTGGTCGTAACCGGATTCAGCATAAGCACCTCCTCCAATAACGCCATAACCGGGGTAACCAGAAGCGACCTTGGAGTATCCCTTGTTGGAAGATTCTTGGGATCTTGCGTTTTCAGAACTTTCAGCAGCGTTAAGCTTAGACTTGGTGGAGTAACCTGAACCGCCAACAACAGCTGGACCCCAAACACCAGGTGCGACAACTCCGTTGTTATATGCAGTGGTAGAGTCTGCTTTGTTCAGAGAACGGCTGGCCTTGGACGAGGAAGCGGATTTGGCGCTTTGGTCGTAACCGGATTCAGCATAAGCACCTCCTCCAATAACACTAGGATAGTAACCAGGGTAACCTGAAGCTACCTTGGAGTATCCCTTGTTAGAAGCTTCCTGAGATTGTGCATTTTCTGAGCTTTCGGCGGCACTGAGCTTGGATTTAGTTGAATATCCGCTGCTGGCTGTGGCTGAAAATAAAATTATATCTGTATGTTATTTTTTGTGGTTGTTTTTATTATTCTCGATTTCGTTTCATAAATGATATAATTCAAACATTAATATTCTGTAGAATACTTACCAAGTGGTGTGTAGACTGGTCGGTAGACATGAGTCTGGGCTCTGCCGCCGCCGCATTTTCCGGCTAGGCCGCAACCTGCCAAGAGCACTACAAGGGCAATGGAATAGATGTGCATCGCTACTGATCTGGTTTAGCTTCTGATCCAACGCCTTCTTATAGTCACTTTATTGTTTGTTCAGCCGGATGGTCCCAGGTGTTCGCTCTGCAGCTGTCAGTATGAGAATTGTTTGTTTGTTGGTTCAGTCATATACGATGACCAAATATTAGTATCGGTAAATATTAGAATATTTTTGGATATGCTTCAGTTCACATTTTTTACATACGAAATTTCGTAATAACCATTTTCACTTTACAAATTAATAAAAACGATGTAAAATGTAGTATCATTTTTCCTCGAAAAAAAAATGTATTTCCTTAACATTTATCAGATTATGGATCTTTCCTCTTTCTTACCTAATTTAGCACTAGCCTCATGCTTTTAAAAGGCTAAGTATAGCAAATATTTTTTAAGTGAAAAACTCATGTTTTGATTAATTATTAAAGAGTTAACTAAAGAGGTGTGAATTAAAAAAAATGTTTATAGTAACAATCATTAATTGTCTTTTCCTCGTGCATTACACACAGTTCTCGAAGCTTCAAACCAGAAAAATTGAAGTAAGAATACCTATCAATTTCCAACTATTCTTTATATTTGAGAAACCTAGATATATGCCTTGATATAACATATATTCTTGATATATGTTACTTATTTACGATAAATATTATTGATTTTATAGTATCAGGAAAGCTTAATAGGACTTCTTATGCTTTTAAGATATTGGGATTGGTAATGAGCTCTGATTTCTATGTGTGCAGATCAACTCATAGAAGAAATAGTAGTATATTATAAACTAGGAGGTTGAAGAAATGAGCTGTAGTTCTAGTTAAAATTTAATTCACAATGGCTATAGATGTATCTAAGACTTCAGGTTTTGAAACTATGAGCTGGCTACTTCTACTAAGTTAGTGTCGAAACAATTATTAGAATGCATCCTTTAATTTATGATAAATCTAGGTTATCTGTTTGTTTTTTTTTTTTTTTACATCTCCTTAATTTTTGTTGTTAAAAATGTTTGATTGATATTTTTCTTCTGTTTATTTTATATTTTAAAATAAGCAAAATCCCAGATAATAGCTCAATTGTCCAAATAAAAGCAAACAATGCTAAATGGTGCACTAGTAACGGGAAATCAAGAAAGAGGAATTTATCCTGTGCCGCCTCATAATTGGTTACTGTGAATTTTCATACGGTTACTCCACGGTCGAGCGTCATATATGGTTCCTCTAGAACCGTGGACCACAAGCTCGTGGATTGTGAATAATATGCAGCCACAAGAAAAAACCTCAACCTACACAGTACTCTTCAAGAAATATTACAAGATACCGAGAAAAATGTGAAAATTCTGATGAGTTTTTTTAGAAAAATGGGATTCTACAATAGAGTATACGAAACTGGAGTGAAGAAAGAATTGCCAATGACCCTATCGGGTAGAGGCATATTCAGGTAATAAATAAATATATTTTTTATATATATAATATGAATGTGTGGCTTACTTCCCTACAATACTGTCCAAATTACAGAGTATTGTATTACTCAATAAATAAATAAAAAAGAAAAAAAAGCTGGATTAGTTTGTGACTAAGGAGTGACTGAGTATTTGATATGAAATTTCCTGGCGGACCTCATTTTTGCATTTAGACAATTTTTTTTTTTCTTGATACAACATTGTTCCAGTCCATCAGTTGATTTCAAATTCAAAATAAACTCTATTACATGTCCACTCTATTGTATTAAAGTAAGTCCGTATATATTTTGGTTTTTGAGACTGTTCTAAAAAATGAAAGATAAAACGCCGACTGATCAGAATTCTATCTAACTCTAAAAAATTCTATTTTTTAACTATATTCTTTTGGGACTATACTCCAGATACATACCACTTATATCATTATTTTAATTTACTAACGCTTTGTCGCTTAAGATAAGGGTAAGGAGTATATGAAAAAGACCAACAGAATTTGTGAGTACCAGGTCGTGGATGGACCTAGAGACATAGACAAAGTGAGAATCGTTAGAGACGTGAGAAGATCTGATAAATGACTGAAAGGAGAACCCGCGGAATAAGGAACAAACGACATTTACCGTTGAATAATGTCAGTCATAAATCTGGTAGTATCAGGGATGGGGTTACCAGAATTGTCTCAATTGAGAAGGGCCTGTTTTCCAGTTTTGACGCATTCCTTTTATTTCAGCAGATAAAATTTATTTATAAAAAAAATTATCATAGATTCTATGTTCAGAAAAGAAATGCCTTCTTCAAACTGCATTGAAGAAATTATAAAATAGATGAGTAAAAAAAAAGTCGGCAACGTTCACTTTTAATTTAACGTTATATATAGATTATCAATGTCACCATAATAAAAACTGCTTAAATTTTCATTATCTCATTATTTTGTCTTATAGTTAGTCATTTAATGATACTTTTTAAATTATATTTACTTCAATCAAAGGAGAACCACGTTTAAATATTTGTAGAGAGAAAAATACTTTATTGAAAGTAATGCTGCCATACAACATAGGGTTGCTTCATATGCTTACTGATCGATCCTTATGGACACAGATCTCACATTATACTATTCCATTATTGTATAAACGTATTTTATTTTCTCCGTTTTTATAATACTAGTTATATTCAATATCACTAATATACCGCATTAAACAATTGCCGTTATATAACACATATATAATCTCTAAAAAAAAAAAAACTTAATAATTTTTTTTTTAAAAATAGGTAATTATATTTTAATATACTGCAATTATATTTAAAACATTTTGACAAAAAAACAGGTTCATTATAAAATAATTAACTGGTTTAAATTAACTGAAAATTTCATAACATTGAGGACAGTCCATTTAAAGATAAAAATATTATTAAATGAATTAGAGCAAGGACAATAATGTGGAAACAAAAATTATTTATTTATTTATTAACAAAACAAAAATGTAGAACATTTGATTTGATTAGATTTGCAATCTGCAAATTTCTTTGCAATGAGCAAATTTTTTGGCAGCTTCACAGCTTTCCATGACGTCCGGAATATAAATCAGATCAGCAGGTCTCTTAGCCAACGCCTACGTAATCGTCTTAGTTGGCTGTACGGGTTTCTTGTACGATAAAGAATTTCTGGCAGGGGATTCATGTTGTACGTCAGTTTTTGGTGAAAGTTATTGTATTTCTCTTTTGCAGTATCTAAAATTGTAGGTACGTTTTAGTCTTTATGTAGTGTATCATTTGCCACATAAAACGGTGGGTCAACTATCCTTCGCAACACTTTTGACTGAAAGGACTGAACTTTTTTAATGTTAGAAGTTTTAGCAGAACCCCACGGTTCTATTCCGTAAGTCCAAATAAAAATTAAAAGCAAATAAAGATGTGTCAACTTATATAATACACAACATAGGTGTGAATGCGTTTTATTTGTTTTGTTATTACTCGACTGGTCTGTTTTTTTAATTATCTTGTATATTACTTTATCTTTATATATATATATATATATATATATATATATATATATATATATATTATATATATATATATATAATATATATATATATATATATATATATATATACTTTTTTTTTCCTTTCTTATGTACATATTGTGTGAATGAATGCTATAGCACTAGTACCAATGCCCTTCAGTGTGGCAGACTGTATTAATACTCAATAAAAGTTAAAAAAAAAAATATATATATATATATATATATATATATATATATTATATATATATATATATATATATATATATATATATATATATATATATATATAATACACTAAAGAAATCTCCAGGAAACCAAAACAATGCTTTTCATTTTATTCATCAAAGAAAAACTAGTTTCATTAAGAAAAAAAAATTAAGGACTTCAGATGCGGATCAAGCAAAATGGGGACTTAAAACTTATTAAAAGTGGGACAACCAGAAAAATTTAAATATAAAAAAAATATGAAGTTCTAAACAAAAATAATAGTGCTAAAATAAATCCTTATAAAAAAAATAAATTAATATATTTAAAATATATACATTTTTACATTTTATGTAATTTCCGTCTCAATTTCTTTTTATTACAAATTCATATATAGACATTGTAGTGTCCATTTCGATTAAAATATCTTGCTGTATCTATAGAATCAAGAACTAAAGAATTCTCTGTAACTATTATTTTTGTATCTTCAAAGCGCAAAATTATTTTTCTCCTGATGCAATTGATGCAATGATCTAAGAACAATTTAAATTATGATTCAACTAGTGTTGTCCAAACGCAAGACCGAGACGAGTCCATCGGTTTTGGTCTTGCACTTTGCAAGAACAAGACCAAGACCTCCTAACTGCTGCAAGACTAAGACCAAGAATGCTAAAAAAAAATCGATTTTTTAAATAAAAATTAAGGCAAAAAAGTAGCTAATACTTGACAATTTTAGTTACTATATGTAAAGAATTGGTATAACCAATATATCTTTGGATCTAACTCTTCTAACATTTCATTCGAGGTTAGTTAGGTTTCTCCTATCAAAAAAATTACAGTAATATCTCTAGTAACTAGCTAATATTAGCTAGATTGTTGCGAGACTCTTGCGCAAGACCAAGACTCATCTCGTTCTCGCATTTGGGCAACACTAAATGTAATGTGCTGTGATTTGTCTTGATTTAGTCGGATTTTCCAAATTTTGAACCAGTCATGTAATCTTGTTAAATACTGTTGGAGGGTCTGTGAGGCGTATGTTGGATTTTTGTGTCCTGCTAAAATTGCCGTGTCGCCTGCATATGCTGTTAAAATGTTGTAATTACAACCAATGTCATGGGTTTGTGTGATATAGAGTAATGGAGCAAGTACTGAACCTTGGGGTACTCCTGCTGAGATAAACCTGATGGAAGATAGTTCAGACCCGTGTTGGACGGGGAAACATCTGTCGGAAAGGAAGGATGTCTGTCGATATTCTGTAAATTTGTAAATTTAATGCACACCATGAATATTTTATTTTCATACAAAACCACTGCATTGAACTTTTGACTCCGCCTGTTTACGCAATTTCGAATATTATTCACGCTCAGTATTGTAAAAGCCCAGTTCCGGTGCAGTTCGCAAAAAAGATTGAAGTTATTCCTTAC